TGACACAAGTGAGTTACGTACAAGACAATCCACCCTGTGAATTTTGTGTCTTTAGCTACCTCAGTTTAGAGCTCTCAGGGGGTTCAGACTGCCCTCCCTGCCCCCCCCCCCCCCCCACACACACGAGTGAAGGGTCTTCAACGGGCCACCCAGGCGCGTGATAATGTTCAGGCGTTGCATCGCAGGAGTCAACCATTTCGACCGTCGTCGGGATCAGGCGATGTGAGATCACAGCGGCACAGCGCTGTGCCTTTATGGGCTAGTGATACGTATGAGTAAATGTAAGTATGGCAATCAGGATGTCAACAGCTATTTTCTGTGGTGAATATGCCCTCTCTCTCCTCTCCTCTCTCTGCCCCTCTCTCTCTGCCTCTCTCTCTCTCTCTCTCTCTCTCTCTCTCTCTCTCTCTCTCTCTCTCTCTCTCTCTCTCTCTTCTCTCTCTCTCTTTCTCTCTCTCTCGCTCTCGCTCACTCTCGCTTTCTTTATCTCCTTGCCCGCTCTCACCGGTTGGCAAATGCAAGAGGTCGTCGCTCTCGTTCAAAGGGAATGTCAAACGACGATGACATTATTAATGGAGCACTATGAGCCGTGCCCGGATCTAGATCTGGCGAAGAGAAGGCAAGCGCGCATGAGCCCATTTACGCTCATGCACAGCCTGGCCACTTTTCGGGTCCGGCGCTCCTGAGCCGCGCATGTCGTTATGAGGCCACGTCATAGGCGTCCCAGGCGGCTGGGACATCCACCGTGGATCGCGGCCGGGACATAATGGCGGATCGCGGCCGGGACATCCACCGTAATGGAGATGGGTGTGTTGCCCAACGGAATAATAAGCCTATTTAGCTGCCGAAAGATTGCATCACGGGGACCTGCTTGCAAGTGGGCCTGTAAGTTAAGGCGACATAATTAGAGCCGGCTCTCGCCCCATGTCTCAGGCCGGCCAACAGTGACGCGTGACCTGGCCAAGGGCGGAGTCAGCGACGAGCAGCGGGGAGAAGATCGCCGTTTGTAAAGCACTTCGCCTTTATTTTACGTCTAGCCTGTCATGCGTCAAAAGCGTCAGATTTTGCGTTCGAGTTTTCTGTTCGGTGGGTTCCCCCACGTCCAAAACTCCCGGCCATTCGCCTGGATCCGACAGCTTGCGTCCATGACGGGCTGACCCTGATAAACGGCGCCTTTTAGGAGGGCGAACTGGACGGCGCAAGGGCGATTCACGGCAGCCGAGCACGGCACGACCAGCACGGCTTCGGGACAAAGTAGGGCGGATCTGAGCCCAAATGGAGCGCGCGGAACGGACTGGAAATGACTTGACACGTGAGCTGGTCAAGCGCTACCCATGCGGTCATCACTGACAGCGACCAACACCAAAAATGGCGAGACAATGTGTGGCTTAATGCTAGCAGCGTTGGTGAAGCATCTTTAAAATGTGTGGTTTGTTGGTCATCTATCATATACTTGACTACGATGCCTGGAATAACCGTGTATTTGTTTCTTTCTTCTCAAAATCGATTTACATGGTGGCTTTTCAGGTATTTGGCTTGTTACAACTTTCGCTACGTTCGGCTCGTTACAGTACTCATTCATTGGTTACAATACGTTACAAAAAAATACCATGAAAGACGATGCTGCGAAATACGCTTTAAAATTTGATTCTGTAAAATACGATACTATAGAAAACAACACCATAAAATGCGTACGAAGTCGAACGATTACGCCAGTAAATGTCCTGCATTGACAATGGGACGTGCCAAAGCCAAACTATACATGCAAGGATGAATGAAAATAAACTATCAGTAGATGAGATCCGCCTTGACCCGCAAAGCTCACACACGCACACACACGGCTTACAATCACCATAACCTTGATTCGATATTGATGCAGTGCAGCTATTAACTGCTTCCAAAATCTATGGAAGCTTTTTGCAAGATGCATGGATCATAGTTTTGACATCACAATTTCTTAAAGATAATACGCCCTGCAACTAGCTGAATTGCGCTTGCTCATGCTATCACAGTTATATGCACGGCTGCAATATATTGCCAGCAACATGAGGCCTAACGCTCCGGCCAAAGCGGGAGTGAAGAATAATGTCCGTACAAGCATGCTACATCCCCGGTGATTTAGCAGACCTGAGAGGTTGTGGCTCCTTATCGTTTGCCTTCAGTTGGTTCGTTCATTTCATCAACTCAAAATATTTACCTCATAACTATGCTGTTTCTATACGCTGTATTGTTATTGCTAAATGACGACGCGTATGCCATCGTGATGAGGCGCCTCATATAATGCATACCAAAGTTTGGAAACTGCAGCTTCTCCGCTCTGCTGGGCAACAAAACCCATAACATCTTTCCGTCTTTCGAACCGGCCCGTTTGTCTACGAGCTTTTCCAATGTTAAACGCACACAGGTAACATTCAAAATGTAAACAAAGAACTGAAGTACGATAAACACTCCGCGATGCCTCGCAGACAGAGCCGGCAGCGCACGTGCTGCACAGAACGTGCTGCCGCACCGCCCGGCGGTCGCGATGGCCCGACCTGTGCGCATGTCCGATGGCTGCCCCAGGCTGGGGCGTCTGGCAGGTGTCGTCCGGCGTGCGTCACGCTTCCACGGGTCACGTGACAGGCCGACGCCAGGGGTCAAGTGTCGCGAGGGGCGGCGGCGCCGGCGGCCCGCGACAGACCGCCCTCGAGTCACGTGACCTTTCGTGCGTCACCTGTGACCTATGGCTGCCGTGGCGGCTAAGGTCGGGGGTCAAGCCTCGCGGCTGCAGCTGGTCAGGCGGCCACGCAGGCCTGGCGGAATGTCGCCGCTCCGAGCCGCGGTCCTTCGACCGCCTCAGTCCCAGCAACGCTGCGGCATGAGGCCGACCGGGTGATATCTCAGAAGCTCGAGGCCCCACGTTTTAGATTTATGGCTGATCGTGTCGAGAACGCAGCTTGCGTCATTATTGCAGAACTAAGTTACGGCGATCGATAACCTTGCTTAGGACGTCGGAACATTAGAAGAACACTCTGTCATTTGCTTTTGTCCATGGCGTAGGTGAGGATGCGATGTAGGGAGCGGGTAATTTCATGATCACGCAAGGCTTGCTGTCATAGCGTTTTGTGCCGTGCCTAATTAGCTGTCACAGCGGAGCGAATGCCACGTGCTCTGCGGGTAACACTGACCCTAAGGGTCGAAATCTCATGTCGGGTCACATCAGACGGCAAACTCTGGCCTTGCCGCTCTGAAAAGTGCTCCGGTTGTTGCGTGTATGTACACTTGGAAGGTTTCTGATGTCATTCTAGGGTTTTCAATGTAGTACAACAAACCGTTCGGCACACTGATCTAACCTCACAGAACTTGACCTGATCACCCCTGACCTTCTCAAGATGCAAATTTTATTTTGTTTGCTTTTGGAGGGGCGACATTTGTCAAAGTGAGGATACGACTTACCAAATAATTGTCGTGCCTTACCAGCGTGAACTCACCTCGGTTGTACTTCCTCTTCCGCAGCGCAGTGGCAAACTACTGGCTCTTTATGAATATTTCGCCCAAACATTTCTTTGTATTCTTTGAAAAGTTTCTTCATCAGGAGTACGCTCATCGCTCTCTCTATCTATCTCTTACTATATCCTCTATCTCTATCTCTAATCTCCTATATATAATCTATATCTCTATCATCTCTCTATCTATCTCTATATCTCTATCTCTCTCTCTCTCTTTCTGCGCTGCTCGACGTGCTCTGCGCTTCATGTGCTGACTTCCTGCACTCAAATATTTGAGCCATTGCCAGAGCGCTGTCACCTTTCGTTCACTGCCAAATAGCCACCGAGGTGAAACATTCCTGTAAAAATGTGCTGTGTTTAAGATACCCTGCTTTCACTTAGGCGAGACACAGGTGTCGTGCCTGCTTGATGACCTATGATGTTAATGCTTCATAAAGACGGGTGATAATCTTTTAAGAAGGGAGCGAGGACGTATATTTGCCCCAGAATATGAAAGTAAATTCGCTGCCTCCTTATGGTGCACCCCAGGCGGGGTGGATTAAAACATCGTTTCCTCCTGCCCTTCAAGAAAAAACTGCGTCCTAAATATACGCAATATGTGCAAAATTAGCTCTTAAACTAAGGAGTAGAAAGGAGGTCGCCGACACGACTTTGCCGATGTAGCCAACAAAGATTTTCAGCTTGTGCTGCTGGAACCATCTTCAGCGAACGGTTATCCTCTCAGCTGTCACCGCTTCCCAGGACTGCAAACATGGCGGATTCTCAGCACACACTTTCTTCCGAGCATGAATAGAAAATCCATGGTGTGGTGCTTAAGGTGACCAGACAAAAAATTCAACGTCAGGATTGCAAGCTACTGCGGGAGTGACCGTTTGAATTCCATTCATTTTGTACCCGGCAGAAGTGTACGCGTGTTTCCCCTGTGGCGCCGCGAACATTGAGTGTTCAAAGCCTGTCCTGTCAGTCGATATACAGCCTTTCTGCCTCGCACCAATCGAATCCGCATGCATACCTGCTGCAAGCCGGGGTACAATGACCTGCCAAGTGGCCTCGAACAGGCTCATACAGCGTAGTGCATCAGGCTAAGCTGACAATCAAGGTCGGACCATGGTGGTCGTGCCATCATTAAAAACGTTATTTCATTTACCTGATTCGATTTCTACTCTCATCAGAGTTTCATTTACACGTTCACCTACCAGTGGGATGACGGTGGTGACGGTGACGGTGGTGACGGTGGATGATGGTGACGGTGGTGGTGGTAGAGCCGGAGGCCTCTTTTTTTTGGGGGGGGGGGGGGCAACGACGGAGTGATGGGGACGGGAATTCCGCAGCGCAGTGGCGGAACGCTCTGCTTATAATCACGAGGCCGGTGACTAAGACTCACGCAAACACGAAACAAACTATGAGCTAAAACTTCGATGCCCTTGAAATGATAATCTAAGGCAGCACCGTCGCCCAACTGTTCTTTAGCAAAATTACACGTCTGATAGGACCTACATAGACGTAACACGACGGATAAAAGGTGCACCGTTTTCCTTGACCCCTCACCAGTCCCTGATGTGCTCCAGCTGGGGACGAGACAACACTGACAGGATCCAATTTACACCAGTTAATAGGGTTAGCAGCGCGCAGTCTCTGAGAGCCTTCACAGATAGCTCTGCGTGGCTATCTTTAGGCACGGCTTATCGATGACAGAATTCCGGGCCAAGTTTACTGGGGCGCGCGACTCATCGACACGCTATCAACCCCAAGCTGCTCTGAAAGCCTGTCACTTCGGGCCGTCCATCGGAACATGTAACAACGATCGATGCCGTCGCGGCTCTCCGCGATCTTGAAAAATTAGTGAGCACTTGACCCCTTCCCGCCACAAATGTCACATGAAATGCCACGCACGACCACAATGTGCATTACACACAATAGCTGCAAATTGGCGGCCATAAGGGGCTCGGCGAGCTCTTCAGTGATGTCATGGGAGGCCGTGCTTACTTTGCAGCTCAAGGACGCCATGGTACTTGGCGCTCGATAAGACATGTGATGCGTCGCAGGTCCGCGGGTGGCTGTCCGGTTGTGAGAGCTTAAGCGATAGAAGATTGCGACGCATTGCGATCACATGTGTGACTGAACCATTGCCTAAGTGCTCGTTCATCAGCAGCATTCCCAGTAATCAAAATCCACGACGATTCCAGACGATGCCCTAAACGACAAATTTTAGTTCAGATTTGGAGGAAAAGTGGAAACATCCGTACCTCAAACAGGTGAATGGCACCAACGCATCGATGCATGCGCATAGACATAAATAATAAGGACGCAATTCTTGAAAACCGAGGCACAAACCTGATACAATCCGCTGGGGTCCCCCAGCATTTTCCCCCGCCCCTGCAGACGACGTGGCTGCACTCCTCTCAGCGGCATTAGACGTTGACGGGCGACGACGCCCGTTCCGGCGGTAGTACGCGACTTCCGGCGGCCATCTTCAGCCGCGCGCGGGGCCCCGATGGGCGGCCGGCGCCGAATGGCGCAGCAGACCGCGCCGCCGCCGCCGCCGCCGCCGGCACGGCTTCACCGGCTCACCTTGACCGTGACCTTGGGCGCCGAGTCGATTTCCATTTCATGACTGGCGCGGGGAGGGGGCCGCCAGCGCAGCGATGCGGGACCAGATACGCTCCCGACTCGGTCACGCCGCGGTGGTTACAGCGATGGTGCGGCGCCGCCGGCCAGACGGCGTCGGCCACGCTGGCGAGCCGCCGCAGCTGCCGCCGCCGCAGCCGCCGCCGCCGGCGCTGCAGCGTGGTGCTGGCAGCTTTTTCCAGTCGCTTTCAGTCGCTCGGGCTCGGCGGCCGGCCGGAATGCCCCCCGGCGGCCCTCTGAAGGCGTTTGGACAGCTGCTGGGTTGGCGGTAATGAGGACCTCGAGACTGCGCCAGCGGCGCGGCCCATGTGGCGGCCAGAGATGCCATGTGGCGTGCTCGAACTGGCTCAGAAACTTAGTGAGTCGCGCTGCTGGACAGACGCGCGAGTCAGAGGCCAAGCCTCGACGGTCGGCGCACCAAAAATGCTAACGAAAATTGCAGGCTTTCGTGAGGCGCTTGACCAGAATTGTCCTCAAGGAGGAGCCAGACGTCAGCTTTTGTCACATTCCAACCGTTTTCCTACGGAACCACACCATCCTGGTGTGGCGCGTTTTTCTCAGGGACGGTCCATGACATCCGTGGCACCCATTTTGGCCATGTCCCTGATTTCCGGTGTAGCGGGCTGGTGGCGCTCTCAGGAAAGGACGATTGAAACGACGGCTGAAACGTAACTTCTGCGTCTCGTCAAATGCTGGGAAACTGATGCTTGATGGTTGCAGACAATCATCCAGAAATCTGGCTCTAACGGGCGCCAGTTTTGATGCAGTCGAAATTTCGGCTTACGGTAAACTCCTTGAACACTGGTACCACTGCATGTGCCAGTCAATCGTTCCCGGCTCTTGGCATCCAGGCTGTTGTTGGTGTGCTAACAGTGCCTCCACTTTTGGAGAATATTGGATCTTCAACGAGTGGAGAGCGCAGGGCTTTTGAACCCTGACGCAGAGCGAACAGGACAATCCCGCCGACTTGTGCAGCGATCGGTGACACTCCGGCCGACGCCTGCAATGATCGGTGACTATCCCGCCGACTATTGCGATGATCGGTGACTCTCCCGCCGACTCTCGCAATGACTGGTGACTCTCACCGCGACTCTTGCCGATGTATCGGTGACATCTCTCCACCGACTCTTGCGATGATCCGGTGAAGCACCGCCGATTCTTGCAATGATCGGTGACTCTCCACGCCGACTCTTGCGAGATCGGTGATTCTCCCCGCCGACGCCCTGCAATGATCAGTGATTCTCCCGCCGATGCCTGCGATGACCGGTGTCCCTCCACCGATGCCTACAATGATCGATGACCCTTTCCGCCACCGAGATCAGCCAGTATAATTTGATGCAGGGAAGCTAGTAACCAACTTCAGAGCTGCAGGAGGATGCCGCGGCGGCTGCCGCGCTGGCTGACTTCCACTGACTCTCCCTGCAGCCAAATATGGCATCGAGCACGGCCGGATGGTTTGGTGTTAATATCACAAAGGACAAGCAAACTGCATCATTTGTAAGTCTCACCATATGATCGTATGAACCAAAACATTTTAGCTCCAGTGAATTGTACGATTATCAATGACACGAGGCTAATTTGGCCGGGTGAAATTGAGCAGCTTGCGACACATCCATTCAAGGATGTATTTTATAGGAATATGGGTTGTGGGACCAGTGAAAATAACGAAATCTACCCCCAAAATTGGCCAACCGATGGGTTTCTCTCCGCTTTCCCGAGACCCCAAATTTTAACCACAACCCATGGAGAAAGGGTCATTTGCCATTCAATTTGGACCATATTCTTGTTTTCTCAAAAATCCCTACAAGTTCTGCCGCTCCCAATTCTTCAATGAAATGCCATCTGGCGAAAATTCCGATCATCCCCCTAAGCGACGTGACAATACGGTTCAACGGCAACAATAGGCTCGTGTTGTGATTCACCACGTCGCGCGGGTTCTCGTGTGGTTATACAACTGCCACCCGTGCAAACATCGAGACGGGGAGGTGCGGCTGCATTAAATGCACGCGCCGTAGTATGCAGTGATTAGCCACCGTATGGGAACGCGACACCTTGTTTGTTCAGCCCGGTTATGGCGTTGCACAAGGGTGGAGTTAAGCAACAGTGTGCTGGCGCTTGGCGCCGGACAGGCTCACGGATCGAAAATAATCTTAGTGATCCACCTAGTGCTCGTCATCTCTTTCTGGACGCTTCATCCCATCAAAGCTCACATAACGTGTTCCCCATCTGCTGCCAAACGCTTCCGCGCCCAGATCGCAAGAAGAATGAAACAGCGAGCTCCCGGAATCGAAGGCGGTTCAAGCGATCCATTCTGTGCTATCAGATGAGAGAAAATGGTCTGTTTGGATGCGCCGAGGCGATTAAGCCGGCCGGGACCGGCGCTCGTGAGGCCAAAAAACAGCCGAGCCAGGCGGGTGCATCTGAGCGTGGCATGACCGGGCTGGCCGCCGGGTGCGGGGCGCGGTGGCCGGCTCGGGCGCGGCCCGTGAAACCTCGGCGCCCCGCGGGCCCGCGGGACCGCGGCGCCCCGCGGGCAGTCCGAACGCCGGACGTCAGACGGGACCGATCTGCGCGCCGAACAGCGGCACAGGGCGGCAATCACTCGCCGACCCGCGGCGCCATCCGGTGCGCGCAGGCCGCCGGTGGGCGGCCGCACCTCTCTGCCGCTGGCTGGTGCGGGTCGAACCGCGCCCTAGCCTGGCCGGCATGGGCTGGCCGGGAGGTGAGGGCTGCCTCTCAGACAGAGGTGACGGCTGCCCCTTGGGATCCAAAAGCCTGGGACCGCATCCCGATGGGTCCGCAAGGACCGGCAGGGAAGTTTGCCGTCTGCAAACATGCGTATGATTTTATGGATCTTTTTCATACTTCTTCCGTGATTTTTTGCCGAGATTGCATTTTGCGGATCTGGACGGGATTGTTAACAGTAACAATGGATGGCAATTACAATGGGGACGCACCAGAGCTTTTCTTTTCGGCCCCTGTTCTTTAAGCCGGAAAGCACCAAACCGCATTCAAGAGTGTCTGGTCCGTGTACATCTATGTCGGGCAGTTTTGGTATTAGTAGCATTGGCTACAGCATACAGGTAATGAAAGGTTTTTTGGTGACGCCATGCTGCGATTGTATTTACGCAATTGTATACTGAAATTGCAGCGTATTTATAAGTATCTGTGCACCTGCGTAGGGCGACAGTAACCCACACGGGAAAATAGCGCACCTTGCTTGGGAACACGAATATTTCAGCCGGCAGCCGACTGGTTTCGTCTGAACAGCTCATATTTCGCGACTTTGAACGAAGTGTGCAGACCTTGGTAACCAATGGTCTAGAACTACGTGTCACCGCTACGCGCGCGATCCGCACTGGCATTCTGCACGAGGTAACTAGAAAACATTTCAGACAACTGGATCTTTTGCCATGAACTTTTACGGGGCAATCACTTTCATCCTGGGCTAAACTGATTGCACCTCTACACACGCACCGTCTTACATGTCTTCGGGCCAGCACGCCGCAATCTGCGCTTCCGTATTCGAATCGCAGGGCGTTTAACGCAGAAAGTGACGATCACACTTCTTCGTCCATGACACGCTTGGGCCACGCCACGTTTCACGTTATCGCGTTGCAGTCTGGTTTCATAAAACCAGGCCAAAGACTGAAGCCGCCAGCATGCGAGTCAAACAAACATGAAGTTTACACACCGTGACAGCAGAAAAGCGACCACGACAGACTGTCGGGCCAGCAGCACGCGAGGTTGGGGCCCGCCTGTCTGCGCTACGCCTTCCATGCCGGCCGGCCCCCGCCCCCTCCCGCCTCAGAAGTACACACCGAACACAATCGCGCGTCCCGCCAGCACGCTCAAGGTCAAACTGACCTTGACGAGCCGAGGCTGCGCGCGCAGGTAACGCTGTTAAGGCTGTTGAGGGGCGGGTTGCGGACGTGTGCCGGCCAGGCGCACGGGCGCGTCCAGCGCCGGGCCATGGGGTGGAGTGGCCATCCAGCGGTGTTTCGAGGCCTGCGGGGAGGTGACAACTAGGAGGTCGTTCGTATTGACCTTCGCTCATGCAGTCAGCCGCGGGCACTCGGACTGCGCTTTCGCTACATCGGTTTAATAAATGCCACATTTTAACGCGTTCTTGGCGTCATGAGTGTCCTTGAACGGGAGTGTTTTCTGTCGCGCCATGGGCGCTGATATGCCCGCCGCCAGCCGTCCAGTGCGTTCCACGAGCGCCGCGATAGCGATAACGCGTACCAGACCGTCGCTATCCCTCGCCGGCCCGGAAGGGTGGCGCGTGCTGACGCCCGGCGCTTCCTCGCGATACGGTACCGCGATGTCCGCGGCAGCGCTGCGGAAGCCCCACCGGCCGCTTCGCTCCGCTGCCGCTGCTGGACGCCGCCGGCGTGGCGGTGGGAGCGGCTTGTGGGAACAATGCGCCATTGTCTGGTCGATCTGCGTGTCGCGCGCGCCCGACGCAAAAGGATTCACGTTTCGAGGAGCCGAACCTAGGTCTGTCCATGAGTTTACTGGACGATGACTGGACGTTCTAGAACAGGTGCGTCCGTGTCTATGTCTGGCTCTCGTGTGACTGCGATTGTAAGGGAGTCAGTCCGGGAGATCTTTTACCGAAGTACATGCAGCCTAGCATACCTACGCCCGGATGACCTTTTGCTGGAATACCTGCGCTCGGATAACCTTTTGCTGGAATGCCTACGCTCGGATGACTTTCTGCTGGAATGCCTACTACCGGAAGACCTATTGCTAGAATACCTATTGGCGGAAGACGTACACACGGAAGACTTGGTCGGAAGACTTGGTCGGAAGACCTACTGCTCTCAACAGGGGCGCATGCGGGTTTTCGGATGGAACAGCACACAATTCTCATTGTTCCACTAAAAATGCATTCAGGGCACCGCTTTCTTCTTGCTTGGCACATACACAATACAATGCTATTTCACGTTACACAAATACTATACAATAAATTCGAC